TAGTTAGAATCACATTTTAAAGAATTCGGAGTGCAAAAAGTTAAGTTACGAAACAAGAAAAAAAAAGTAGAACTTCGTATAAACAAACCATTTTTGAGGGATTTGCGTTTTTGATTATCAAAATATGGGGCGGGGAGTAACGCTATCTGAAAAATATGCTTCCAACGGTTTAGTCAGCAATCTACTCGAAACTTTCAACCCCTTATTTTTTAATTCCAACTTTTGGTATTTCTCATATGTCTCAAAAAGTTTTTAAGCGAATCGAAAAATTTTTAAGCGCATTTTTAAAATTCGTTTATTAAAGGTAGTTCCATGTTAACCATTTTCACGTTTCATAAATTTATTTATCAATTGGCGAAAAATATTGAATTGTAACGTATATAAATTTTTACATCAATTTAAATAAAGTAATTAAAAGTATTGAATTGTAACGTATATAAATTGTTACATCAATTTAAATAAAGTAATTAAAAATATTGAATTGTAACGTATATAAATTTTTACATCAATTTAAATAAAGTAATTAAAAATATTAAATTGCAGCGGATATAAATTTTTACATCAATTTAAATAAAGTAATTAAAAACATTGAATTGTAACGTATATAAATTTTTACATCGATTTTAATAATGTAATTAAAAACATTGAATTGTAACGTATATTAATTTTTACATCAATTTAAATAATGTAATTAAAAATATTTAATTGTAACGTATATAAATTTTTACATCAATTTTAATAATGTAATGAAATGAAATGACAAAATACAAAATTAGAACGGAATCAGTCGATCAGTTCTTGCGAAATGCTATCTGAAAAAATACACTTTTTAAAAAGTTTGATAGCTATTTGCTCAATTTCATACATATTTTGTATTATGACAATTTAAATTATGTATTTTAAAATAATGTAAATATTTGTATCCTTTCAATTCAAATTTTTTATGGATTATCACTGAACAAAATACTAAGAAATAAATGAATCATTGACTAATCATTAAAATATAATTTTTATATGAAAGTATGTACGGATAAACGAATTTTATGAATTTCTCTAAACAAATAAGTCACAAACTAATGTTCTCTTATTTAAAATAACTCCTGATTTTATTTAACGAAGACAAGAATTGCTCGAATTCTGTGAGTTCTAGTTATTATTATGTTCCAATGAAAAGTTGACATAATGTGGATAAATTTAAAAACTGGAAAAAAATGTTAAAATGTATTAGAAATAAGTTGTTTAACTAATTTCAACATCTTTTAAAATTCATTTTTACCTCTTTTCAAATTTTTTTAAGCATATATCGTAAATTATTACGTAAAATTATTTTATAGCTTCAATAATTGTTGCTCTCCGTTTTAATAAAAATAACGCGAAGCAATGCTTACAATTGTATTTGTCTTATAACTAAAAATAATTATTGTTAAAAATGTGGTGCTGCCATCTAGTTATAAGTTTCTAAAATATTAATGAAATTCTACTGTGAAATAATGTGACAGTGTCTACCGCTGTTGAGAGTCTCAAAAATTTCACGTCTTGGTTTTTTTAATTACGATTCTTCTCAAGAACTAATTTCTTCTTAAATTTTCGAATTCTTTTGGGCAATGGTGTTAACCGGGGAGCTACCCACCAACAGCTGCGGAAAGCCGCGGGGGAGGTGGATCCAAGAACCCTGCAATTGTATTATGTACCATTATTTCTATTTTAATGTTAGTGCCGCCCATGTACAAGACTATATGCCTAGCTATGTCATTATCTTATCTCTTTGAGTCATATCACACCAAATGAATCAGTGAGAGCCCATCAGGGAGGGTACTGAGTAACCAGAACAATTCTAAGTTGAGTAATAGTAATTACAATGATAATTTAGTTAAAAATCCTCGAAAATGGTTGATCTTGGAATAATGGTGAGTTGGACACTGGTGAATTAATTGCTGTAAATCCTGGTGTCTGACCAAATAAGAGTCCCGAAAATTTTCGTGACCTTTATTCCGTTAGGCACCGCTTCCTTAATTCACGTATTGAAACAAAAAATAACTTAAGATTTTGCACACAACGATATATGTGTGTATAAATAGTTATATATATAT